GGCTGGTGGATTTTTATTTTATTTATTTATTTTATTTTGATCCCCCCTATGTTCATCACTGATTGATGCTGTTTTTGAAGTATGAATAAGTTAATAAGTAATTTATTCCATTGAAATATCATTGATGTATTATAGAAAAGTGATTTATCTTTTTATAAATGACAAAAGGCACATCTGCCTCATTTTCGCTGTGGTATCCTGATACTACTCAGAACCATGATATTTTCATTGGTATCGTACAGTGGGTCCCAATTTTGGTACCGTGACAACACTAATCTGGAGGGGGTTCATCTGCAAAAACTAATGAAAAACTAAACAACAATATTCGGTATTCGGTATTCGGCCAAGCGTTTAATATTATTCGGCTTCGGCTTCGGCCACAAATTTTCATTTCGGTGCATCCCTAGATTATATGTCTACGGACAATATTCTTGCACTTTTTAAAGATAGATACGCCAACACTGACTCACACAGGACTCAAATCTGTCTCCTGTGTGAAAGTCCTTTGCTTGACCCATTCACCCACTACGTCTTACTCCCTATATGGACTGTGTCACTCCTACAACTTTCTGGTGGTCCATTTTTCTTGTAAATGTATAATATCTCAGTAAATATCTGAGGTCCGTTAGAACTGGCCCTAACTGTGACTCTTTGTCCTAATCCTAACTGCTTCTGGCCTTGACACATAAATGTGACGTTTTATTACTATAACTGAAACTTGAAACCTTTTTTTTTTTTTAATGGAAGTTTGTATAAAAAGTCTCCCCTTTAAAAATGGTGTGGGAGCCCTTCTGTTTTGAGTTTGCATGTTCTCCCCGTGTCAGCGTGGGTTTTCTCCAGGTACTCCAGCTTCCTCCCACAGTCCAAAGACACGCAGGTTAACTGGTAACTCTAAGTTGGCCGTAAGTGTGAATGTGAGTGTGAATGATTGTCTGTCTCTATGTGTCAGTTCTGTGATAGTCTGGCGACCTGTCCAGGGTGTACCCTGCCTCTCGCCCAATGTCAGCTGGGATAGGCTTTTTACAGACTGTGAGGGCCTAATTGTGCTTTACACACATTCACAACATGTTTACCATCGGGTAGGCATTAAAATATGTAATAATTAAGATCAGTGTTTATGATTGTCATCAGAATGTATGAGAGGTCACATAAACTGGGCTTTTATGCCAAAGTTTTTCTCACTGTCTTGCTCCTCCACGTCCTTGTGGAAAGCCCTGCATCTTATCTCACCACAAGCTGTCTCCAATATCTTTAATTTGTGTTGTTTGTCAGTGTTAATTGCTTCTTTTCGTGAACGCCCCTTCCCCCCATTCTTTCTCCTCGTTCCCAAACACATTTCAGATGCAGAGTTTTTCCCTTGAATGAGACGCTAACACAGGATTTACAAATTCCTTGGCTGTAATGTTTATCTCACGGTCCTTACTGTGCATTTATTAAGAGAGGCTATAATCTGAAAACACAAGGAGGTGTTTGGTTTTCATTTGGCTGCACCACTGTTCCACCGCGAGAAGGAAAAATCACCACAGAAGAACCCGATATGAGAGGAAACCACAACCCAGTAATTTAATCAGAGCTACTAAAATCAAAGGAGGTAAAAGTTCAGGATCTGAATGCAGTAAAATGTATCAGTTCCTTAGAACCTACTGACATAGCTCACTTGTGGAGGAGCAAGCCTCGACAGAAAGGGCTGAGTAATGAAGATGGATGCATTCTGTTATCAGGCAGCCACTTACTGGGGCCTGATGTAACCTTAAACATTGAGGATAGCTCAGTTGCACAAAGAATCTAATTAATGAATAGCAGCCATGAAAGAGGACAAGGCAAGTGTGCATTTGCAGATGAATTCCAGACACTAATCAAACGCTGTTCAAGCAGTTTGGTTTGTCTCCAGAGCAAGGCGATATTTGGCGAGGATTTAAGGCGATGTTTGCATGCTGGCTTGATGACTGCATGCATGCTTCAGTGTTTTTATGTATGTGCCTGTGTGAGTGTTTTCTTTGTTTTATTTCTGTTTTTGAAGTGCAAAGCCAGATGTTAGAAAGGACTGGATGTACAGAACAGGTGTGAGGTTGGATTGTTGAGTTATTTCAACAATAGGTGTTTGTTTACTCTCCATTATGGGGACCTACTACACTTACCAGGATTTCTATATGGGCAAAATCGTGTCCTGTTGTATTTGTTGCAGCTTTATCTCAGTATATATTGATTGTATTAAGCTGGAAACACGCTACACAATTTAAAACCCAGTGGCCACTACACTAGTTTGTGTCAAACAGAGCAGGCCGCCACAGACAACTTGTACTGGGAATGTTCAAGGGGCAGAACTCTGGCCTTAGACAAAATCATTTAATGACTAAAATATGAATTTGGTCCACATGAAGCATTCTTTATTTGTTCAGAACACCAATCTAAGCCCACTGTGTTCTGCCTGTAAGTTCGACATTAATTAGGCCAAATCTTTTCACACTTTGTAAAGATGTTAACAAGACTAAGAGTCGGCGTAGTCTGGTTCCAGACCTCTGAACAGCTGCAGATATCTCCGATTTGTTTAGCAACTGAAATAGGTCAGGTTGCGTCCCATCTATGTCTATTTCAGCTGGTTGGAGAGAGAGTCAAGCAATCAGAGCTTTTTAAGTGTGATCAATAATGATTAAGTCATTTTTCTGCATACCAAGCTAGCTACCAAGCCACAACCTCCGCTGCAACAGTGATGCGTACAGGGTTCCCATCTTAGTTTAGCATGTTAGCATCTTAATATTTGGCAATTAGCACTTAAGATAGAGTCAAGTTTGGGCTTATGGGATTATCATTAGTTTTGAAGGTGTTCGGTCAGAAACCAAAGTGAATTAATGGGGGAATCAGTCAGGTTTTTAAAGTTGAAGTAGTTTTTGCTTTAAGTTATTATGAAGTAAATGTTGATTTTACAATGTAACGGCCATACAGCATTGACACCATCAGCGTTTATTGGTTCCCATTCACCTTATTTCTGATTTTATCCAGTTGGAGATATAAGAGGTGGTATGTTCTACATGTTTTATCTCCCAGTCTCTCTAAATCCTTCTAGGCAAGAGGATTAGCGTACCATTAGCTAACATTTATTACTGGAAACACCAGTTCCAGATCAGTGCCGGAAATCATGCCCATAATTTACAGAGGGTATCATACGGGCTAAGAACTAGGTGAATAAGCCTCGCTTTGCTATGCAGTTCTGTCGGTCACAGGGTATGATCTCCCAGGAAAACGATTATTGCACTACGGAAGTATATCAACTAATGTGCAGCTGAAACAGAAAGTGGATAGCACTTTTGTTCTTCCTGGTGGCTATCTGTAGCTTTTCCCAGTGACCAAAGAGTATCAGTGTAGGTTGTTTGCAGTCATGGAAATGGCAGATGGTATCATGACTGCGCTCGGCTCTGAGGAAAATGGCAATTTGGGGGGAGGGGGGGGTCCACTTTAAAGTTCATCCATAAAGGGCTATAGTTGTCGGTACACGATTTCATATCAATCCATCCAGTAGTAGTTGAGATATTTTGGTCCGGACCAAAGTGGCAGACTGACTGACAATGCCAACCATAGAGCCATGTCCTTAACCTCTACAGTTTTTGGGGCATTTTTATATCTAAATGTTCGTGGCTAGATAGAAACCCTGGATTTGCAAAACTCTTGCAAGCCACATCAAAATATTCTTGTCTTGCTGTTTTATGGTGTGATAATGCTGTGGTTAAGGTTTGGTTAGGTTTAGGCACAAAAAGCACCTCGTTATGGTAAGGGAAAGATGATGGTTTGGGTTAAACCTTTAAAAACAGACCTCAGGAGATCTTTATTTGCATGATTCTGTTTAAATAGATCTAAATTAAGAACCATAATAGATGAAGCATTCATTCTTATTACAGCAGAAAGCTGAGGCTTCTGTCTTCCCAGTCATCATCTCACGGTCATATGTTACTTTACCAAATGTGGTATTTTAATGTAATTACACCAATATTTTCCTGTAATGACTGCGGGAGGTCACTGTTTCTATAATCCTGGATCTATATTGATGTAATAGAAAAACCATAATGGCTAAAATGTTCATTGTTTTTGCAGCAGAAAGCTAAGGTGTCTGTCCTCCCTCTCATCATGTAATTATCTTTGGTTACTTTACCTTACATGCAGTGCAAATGTAGTATTTCGTCATAATTACAGCAGATTTCCCCCCAATTACCCTTTAATAGCCGAAGGGGAAATTATTCTCAAAAATAAAATAATATACATAGTTCAAATATTGGTATGGTGTGTTAAGAAACATTTAATTTATGTTTTTGCATTTAAATATCTTTCAGATCATTAATTTTTGTGGTTTTATTCCGTACAATCTGATGAAAGAATAAGTCCGATTTTTGTTTTTATGACACAATTTCAATACTGTTCTGAATTATCATTAATTGTTTATTGACTTACATAACCTTTTAGCTGAGGTTGTACAGATTTTAGGGATATGAAGCATTTAAACATACTCTAAGACAGAGTTCAAAGGGTTAAAGTGATCACCTGAAACATAGAACATGAAATCTTTTGGGTGTTTTTGTAACTCTGGAGTGTCCATAAGGCATGACCTTCTAAAACTGAAACTATACTGATGACAGTTAAGATTTTTCAGTGATCAGACGATACAGTGTGACTGTGATGTCATGAGACCTGCTGTCTTCTCTCTTGTCCAGTACCAGCTCCAGAGGAGTTCTCCGTGGCGGTCGGTGAGCTTTCAGTGGCAAACGTGGCTTGTGTCGATCACTGCGTTGGTTCTGCTGGCTCTGGTACCTTATGCTGTTTACTGCATGATGACCGCCTTCACCGACCCTCCTCCTCCCAGCACCTTTAAAGTGGCGGCCGCCTCTTTTGGCCTGCTGACGGAAATCCTGCTCATCAAGTAAGTTTTTAATATTCATTGAGCCTCATATCTGTACTTTTTAAACTTGGTGTGAACTTCATATAAGGTGACAAACACAGTCAGAACATTAATGATTAAAATGATGATGACGCTCTTTCCTCTCTGGTTGTGTTCTCCGTGTTTTCATCTGCCAAATACAAACAATATTTTTAAGTAACATTTCACTTTTATGCGAGTTTCAAAATAAGACGCAGTGAGCATCGGTGTCATCCAAATAATCATCTCTGAAAACAAGCTGTTGTCCGACCCCCAGCACGCCCCCACCTCTCTTGTTTTCACTTATGCTTCTTTCCCATTTTGATATTGCTAATTGGAATGATGCCTGCGGTACTGTAAACCATTAGTAAATGAGCAGTCTGTTTTTATCAACATTGAGCTTGTAAATAATGCATTAGATTCCTGGCATAAACAATATCTACTCTGTGATTAGAAAGCAACATATGGCCGATACTGTAATCAGATTACAAATACAGGTTATGTAATCTGTAATTGCCTAAAGCGGTGTCTCAGTCAGGCTGAAGAATATCTACTGGATTACTTGGAATTACGTCCGACTAGTGTGTTTAAAAATAATGTGACATATTGACTCGCCTTAATCGACTGAATGCTGGGATTTCCACGAGCTCCCCTGCTTAATAAAATTCCTTGTAAATTGTGAAGGGAGTAGTAGAAGTGATGTAACTCTCCGATCACTCTCAACTGCTGTTCGTGCCAGTAGCAAAATTAAAACTTTGTGTTCTACATCTGTCCTTCCTCCAGTATTTGTCTTAACTTAAATAAGAGGCTGTTTGTAATTAACTCAACAAGGCTCGTAACTTTTTCCCCCCATTAAGTGCCTTTGCGAGGAATGTGGCTGGTGAACTGGTAATTAATAAATATGGTTGCACTGGTAATGTGCTTCTGCATCATTATGTTGTTGAAGCCCTTATCCACGCTAGTAATGAGCTGTAATTTTATGACAGGAAATTGGTTTGTTTACAACACATTCAGCAGCTTTCAGACGAGCTGCGTTCTTGGCAGATCTCGGCTGCAGGTATTTGCTCGTTGTTTGAAGTTGAAAGGGGTTCAAATATGTTGTCATGCTAACAATTATACTGTTAAAATACTAACACTTTGCTAATGTGCATGAATCACTCAGAATAACTCCATTACAGTTTTTATGTTGTTTTTGAAGCTTCAAAGCCTGAAATTAATCCAATTCAAGCGTTCCTCAGATTGAAGGTACTGTACGTTATGTCATTAAGAGTAAGTTTAGTATTTTCAGATCTTTACCCTATTTCCCCATGTTTTTGTTTCTAAGTGACAAATGAGAACGGCAGTTTTTAAAATTGGTCCAGTTTGGAACGAGAAGGTTGCAGCAATTGAACAGGCTGCAGTGTAACCACTCAGGACACATTTTTACCATCAGTGTACATACACTAGAAGTTTGTTTTTTTCCACTGACAGGCTCAGATTGTTATTCTAAGGGCACATTCAGTCTGGGGGACTCAGTTTGATTGGGCGGGGAATGCCGAAAAATTTCACACCTTCATTTGGTTCGGTTCACTTTCACACTGCACTTTTTAAAACGGACCAAACCGCTTGGACAACGTCACGCAGTTACAACAGCTGCTCGTTTGGGGGTAGTATTGCCCGAAACGACCACTGACCAGGAAGAAAAAAAGCATGAGGAAGAAGAAAACCTGGCTCATCAATTGGCCAGGACCAAAAATGGAAATCCATCCCCTTCAGTCGGCAGCCAGCAACTGTGATATATATTCGTCTGACCATATATCAATAAGCGTCTGCACCTCCTCACTACTCCACGACTGACCACGAGACATTTTCACAAGTTTTTCTTTTTTTTTTTTTTTTTTTACCTCTGCTTCTCACAGGTTTTTTTCTAGCAAAAATGCACTGTGCTCTACGTCACTTCTGCTCTTTGGTTTGCTGGATGGTCAGTTTACATTTCCCACTGTAAGCGAACCACACCAGGGTTCACTTGCAAGTGAACCGAGACCCCCAGTTATTAAGCGGACCAGGGTTCGCCCGTTTGGTCCGCACCAGAGTTCGAATGAGCGTTCACACCACTCCTAATGAACTGAACTATCTGTGGAAGTGGACTGGGGTTTGTTTAAAGCGTACCAAATAGCCCCAGTGTGAATGCATCCTAAGTGTGTGACAACATTATGGAAAGGATCCCTACAGAGATAGACCTTTTTGTTAAAGTGTAAGATCTTTTTTGTTTAACCAGAAACAGCCCCAAAACTGCAATCCCCAAACCCACCAGACTCCATTTAAATAAACAATAATTTAAGCATATATACAGGCAGTCTATTTTCACATCTAACTGAATTAAGGGTTAATTTCAATCAACCAGACTTAGTGATTGAACAGTGGAGAGACAAACCAAGATGGTGTTAATGAGTTTTATTTTGTTTCTGTCAACTTTAAATAAAGTGTGTTTGTGATGATAACAATTCTGTTTATTTAAATGTAGTCAGGTGGGTTTGGCACAAGCTTACTATAGCTAACTGAAAATAGATTAAAAACTAAAACTAGGTGTGAAAAAACATTTTTGTTAACTGAAACACAAATAAAAACTAGACTTAAGAAAAAAACTGAAGTGCAAGTAATTAGAATAAAGGCATGCAGAATATCTTTGTGGTAAGATTTGTCAACACAATAAGGAGTTTTAGGTATGGGTAAAGGTTAGGGAGGGGAGAAAATTAACATTTTTAAAGATGATTTTTTTTTTTTTTTTGCTTTATTGGATAAGATATTCCAAGTTTAAAGTGGGGATAGAGAGAGAGGGGATGACATGCAGTAAAGGGGCCACACGCTGGAATCAAAATTAACTGAATTACAAACAAAAATTAAAAACTAAATAAAAATGCAAATCTATAATAACTGGTTTAGGGATGGAGATCACTTGGCTGTTTCTGGTTTCAAATAAAAAAAATCAAAAAAGGTCTTTCTCTGTAGTTATCCTTTCATTTATGTTGTCAGAAACTCATGATAACAGTCTGAGCCTGTCAGTGGCACAAACAAGCACTTTTAATGGACGTACACTGACGGTGACAGTGTGCCCAGTGTACATTGCAGCCTGTATTGGGGATGCCAGCTGCTGCGATCTCACTCACCACTGGACCAATTTCTAGACCAATTTTGTTAAGTCATTTAAACAGAAAAACATAGGTTGGAAAATACCAAAGTTACCCTTTAAAGGAGCAGTGTGCAGGATTTAGTGGCATCCAGCAGTGAGGACTGCAGATTGCAACCAGCTGAAACTTCTGTCATATGCCAAGCATGAACTCCTGGTTGGAATTTATTCAGTTTAGGAGGGGTTTTTTACCAGGAGCTGAATTATCCACAGAGATCTCCTCCTCTCCAAAACAAACAGGCCAGCTGATTTAAACCTGTAGATTCGCTGAATTAACAATTTCATGTTAAAAATCTGTGTTTTTCCAATGCTGTTTGGCTCAGTCTGGAGGGGCTGCTAATTCCGGTGGATGTTGAGAAAACATAAATATCCCTATCTAGAGCCAGCGTTGGGTTTGTCCATTCTGGGCTACTGTAGAAACATGGCTGTGCAACATGGTGCTCTCTTTAGATGAGGACCAGCTCCCTATGTCATATTTTTAGGTCATTACATACATAATATATTATATTAAATTTCTGCCTGTATATCCCCTTAACCCTGCACACTGGAGCTGTAAAATGGAACCAATGACACTGGAGGTATCCCACTGCATTGAACAGGTTTTCTGTTTACTGATGCTTACAGTGTCACTGGTACAACTGGAAGGTTGGTGGGTGCCCTTATTAGGATTGGTAGGCCTCACATATCTGTGCCCCATGGTGCTTGTGCTGCCTGGAATGTGCCAGCCTCCTGCTGCCCCCTGTCAGGGTGCATCTCAGTCACTCTTCACCCCGAGGGTGGAAGTCCTCATGAGGAGCAACTCTCTCTCTCCCCCCCCCCCCCCCCCCCCCCCCCCCCCCCCCCCCCCCCCCCCCAATCTCTCACCCACCACACGGCCTGGTAGGCTCTGAAACAGAAACAAGACAGAGATGAACAAGTGAACAGTTCAGAGTGACCTTTTGTTGTGTTGATGAAATGGTAACATGCAGTAATGCCAGTTTATTGGCAAAGCATTTCGTTATCCTCACAGTGAATGAGCCTCTCTGTTATCTGTTGTTGGTTGCCATGGCAACAACACTTTAGACACTAGTTTAGTTTGCTACAAAACAAATTATCTAAATGTGTCATTAAGGATCAGTTCTGGATAGATTTGATGAAAGATGTTGTTTGGGAATCTTTGGTGGTCTCTATCACCACATTCTGTATGATGCCCTTAAATTAATCAATGGATATAAGTGTTTCTAATTTCAGATATTTTATAACTAACCACAAAAGAATAGAAGTATTTAATAATGAAGAGAGCTATGTAGCCTGTGTAATTCTACTACTGTGAATATTATATGTTAGAATGCAGTTAGTACTTACTGGAAAATAAAAAAAAAGCTGTCCAGGTTGACCTCCGTCTCTGGTAAGCTCGCTGAACAGCTTGTTTATCTCCATGGTAACGGATATATGTGTAAGAGGGTTAAAGTTCAGGGCTTAACGTTATGAGGACGTAGTGTGTCCCGATTGAAGAAAAAGCATGCGATTCAGAATGCACCCCATATTTGGATTTGAGAGTGGAGCTAACCCTAACGCTAGCTGCTAGCTTGGTAAGCACAGTGCATTTACAGCTATGGTTAACTGTGACAATGCTAATGCTAATGTTCACTCGCAAAACCAAGCTTAAAGCCATAAAAAATAAATGTACTTACCAGAAAAACTGAACATCCAAATCCTTAGAGGGTCTTTTAGTTCAGCCAAACACTGAACAAGACAACCCCAAAACATGCACAGACGACATGTGCGGCCACTATGTTGAAAACTGTGGATTTTTGTACTATATGTTGTATTATTAGACTTGAAGAAATGCAGCTCC